GGAGAACGAGAGAAATTCTTACTCTCAATAAAGGCGATATGTCACTGGCCATTGGTCTGCTCACAGGACATATCCTGATAGGAAGGCACGCAGAACGCCTCGGGGCTAGTCACAACGACTACTGCAGGAGCTGCCACGACGAAGAAGAGCCTGAATCAATAAGGCACTTACTCTGCGAGTGTCCAGCACTAGGCAGGAAAGGACAGAAATTCCTAGGCATAGGGCTTTTAGACGATATAAGCGCAACTGCTAAGTTAGGAATACGGCAGCTGCTAGGGTTCGCAGACCCCACGAACTGGTTTAAGGAGTAGGGGTTTTTGGATCCATGTGGTATCACAATGGGCCCTGATCGGGCCTAAGTGTGCTGGCGCCCTCTGGGCCTAGCAGCACTTCAACCTAACCTAACCTAACCATTCCGCTGCCATAATTATGGTCACCGTATGTATAGGCGTGTAAAAAAACACAGCTATTATTGGCTTCTTATTCGTGGTAAATAAGAAAATATATGTAGTTTGGAAAATTTTACGAATGGTACAAAACGGTAAAGAACAATATTTGCTTTAAGAAAAATGTTTAAAATTCGGTAATGGTTTGGGAAATAAACTCTTTTCTTCATAAGAGGTAGCCGAAAATCCAATCGTGGGCCTTTGGCATATCATGCAGACCTAGCTAGCAAAAATGACTGCCAATGCATTTCTTGAGTCGAATTGAGTTCTAGAGGATTTTTCGTGCAATGTTATCGAAGCAAAACCATTACTGAATTTTGTAAATTTTATATCGCAATGCGTAAAAGATTTATAGGAAGCGGAAAAGACTCTGCATTATATTATCATAAAACATATTTTCTGAATTTGTAATTTTTAAAATATCTTTTTGTTGATTTATTAAAACAAAAGCTATGTAAATACTAATAATTTGCCTTTAAAACTAACCAAAATATAAAAAACGCCCCTAAAAATACGAAAATACATGGTTATTTAATCGGCTAGATTTCAATGTCCGCAACTGTATATTGAAAATACAAATGTCATTTGACTTATGGCATGTGAATATGGGGTTCCCACACCCAACAAATTATATTTATTGATCAATATTATTGAAGATTTAACGAAGTTTTAACGTAAATCTAAAGCCTTTCGAGATTTAATTTTATTTGGCAAACCTCGAAAGGTTTAACGTTAAATCTCGTCAAAGGGCCAAATCTTCATTAAATCTCACAATGGATACATAGTGTAAAAGTGTTGAGGCCGAAAATGTTTTTCATCAGCAGGTTTTGTATGTAACAAGTTCAGGTCCAGATTAGAAGACTCCGCTTTAAATACTTTGCTGCTCTTACGTGCACATTTTAAGTGCCATAATAACAACACCGGCACAAAAGATTGGTGTGTGCCTCTAACCAGACCCACCAACCGAAATGTATTTCGACCCGGTGAATCCGAATATTAGGTCTGTTTGACTGGCTTACCCTCAAAAATTCGAGTTAATTGCGAAAAAATGGTAAAAAATTCGCCATTTCTGTATGGAGTATTATAAACATGTTTAGAGACTTTGTTTTTTATGTTTTTGTTTATTTTTTTTATTAATCATTACTTTCAAAAATACCTGGTATTTACAGCTGTGTTCATGAAAATAGTAGTGCCAGTGGGCCCTAACTTTCAAAGCATCAACTGAAGTGAAAAACACAGTTTCATATTAAAAATTCTAAGCAAAGTAGTTATTAGTCACAGTTTCATTAGTCCAAAATATTTATTTTTTGCCACACTAAGGCATATTGAAAAAAAAAAACCAAAAAATATTGTGTTCACGAAAATAGTAGTGATTGTTTTAATGAAGTAGCAAAAGAAAAAAAGTCCAGCTAAAGTTATTATTTCACGTTCAACATGTTGTCTGTAGTCTAGTATTTTGTGGTAAATCCTTTATTATTTATTACGGCCATACATCGACGTGGCATAGAATCAACAAGATCCTTACAACGCTTCACAGGGATTTGTGCCCATGCCTCTTTAACGACTTGCCAAAGGTGTGTTCTACTTGAAGGATTTGCTATTTCTACGACTCGTTTGACATCTCCCCATAAATTTTGAATTGGGTTAAGGTCCGGAGACTGAGCTGGCCAGCGCATCACGTCGATCTTTTCAGATGCAAACCACTCCATAGCTAGTTTGCTTGTGTGTTTTGGATCGTTATCCTGTTGAAACGTCCATTTTATCGGCATTTCCCAGCTAGCAAATGGTAACATAACATCCTTTAATATATTTATGTACACTACTCGGTCCATAACGCCATCGATCAAGTGGATAGGACCAACTCCGCTGTACGAAAAGCAAGCCCACACCATAATGCTTAACCCACCATGTTTAACTGTTTTAGTAGTGTACCTGGGATGGTATTCTGTGTTTGGTGGTCGGCGGACATATTTTCTGGATCCTGTGCCACCAAATAAAACTATTTTGCTCTCATCTGTCCATAACACGTTGCGCCATTTTGAAGACGGCCAACTCAAATGTTCTTTAGCAAATTGTATTCTTGCAGCGACATGTTTCTTCGTCAATAGCGGTACTTTCCTGGGGCTCCTTGCTTTCAAATTTTTTTCAGTAAGACGTCAGCGAATTGTCAGAGCACTGACCGACAAATTTAATTAATTTTTTATCATTTTTGCGGACGCTGTGGGCTTGGTTTTAGCATACCGGATAATCCGTTTGTCCTCTAAGGCTGTAGTTTTCCGTTTTCCACCACGATTTTCAGCTTTCTCTTTATAATTTATAGCGTTATTTATCATCGTGGCAGTGCATCCCATAATTTCCTCGATTTCTTTGTACGTCTTTCCCTGATTCCTTAGCTTAATTATCAATTGTCGTTTCTCTACTGAACAATTCTTTCCTCTACCCACTAAAATAGAAGGAGTACCACGATATCAATAAATTTTATCCGAAAATGATTAAGTTGCTTAAATACACTTACTTATTGCAGCTCTTTATTTTTTTGTTAAACTTATCAACCACTCACGTCAAGCACTACTATTTCAATGAACATACTATTTTTGGGGAATATACGAAAAAACGTCACATAACAGACAAGACATGCAAANTTCGTTTTAAATGTTAGGAGTCGGTGCACTACTATTTTCATGAACACAACTGTACATTGTTATTTGTGATCTATGCGTTCCTCAATCACATGGTTTTTTAAATACAGTTTAAAAAATGTATTACTTTTAGATTTGTCTGATTTATTAAATTCTGTGAGCTGTCGAAAAAATCCGTGTCGAAAATGTCCTTTTAAAAGTTTATCCTTGAATATCCTTGGAAATTTTCAATATTTATTTTTGAAAAAAAAATATATATCAAGGACTAATATGTGAACTACCACATATTCGAACTTCGTCCTTCTACCTTTATTAGTTTTAGAAAAAAAGTACACTTCTCTTATAAGATATTGATTGTTACAATACACATAAATGAAGATACTGGAATCATTAAACTGTACAGCACTCGGCTGGGTATTGGACCAAACCATTTTTTTTAAGAGATTGAGTTATAGGTAAATAAGTAATTCGATATCGAGATATGGGCTTTCGAAGTTCGAAAAATGGCCTTTGGTAAAAAATTATTTTGTATTATTATAAGTAAATAACTAAAAAACTAAAAATATAGACGTAGTCCGCCTATTGCTCTTATTTAAATGGTATATAACCTTATTTTGTGCAAACTTATATTACAGGTGCTATAAGGTCGGGTCTTCGAAAAATTAAAAACCTTATATTTAAAACAATTTCGAACTGATTTTTAAAAAATTGGTATCGTTGTATCCCTTTCTGCTGATGTGCATATTTGTATTCTTCGTATTCAAAAATTTGAGAAAAAACATTTAAGAGGAAAAAATACCTTTTTTTTATAAAAAAAAATAGTTTAAACCAAAAATATTACTAACCGATTTTTTTTAATTTATATCGCTGTAAACGCAATCAAACCTCCTTTCTTCTGATATGCGTATTTGTAAACATCGTATATATTTTGAGAAAAAAACACTTACAAAGGAAAAGATACCTTTTTTTTATGAAAAAAAGAAAATATTTTATACAAAAAACTACAAACTGATTTTTTAAAAAATTGGTATCGTTGTAAGGCGATTAAACACCCTTTCTACTGGTATGCATATTTTTATACTTTGTATATAACAATTTAAGAAAAACCACTTAAAATCAAAAAGTCCCTTTTTTTATAAATAAAATATGTTATGCAAAAAAATTACAAACCGATTTTTAAAAATTTGGTATCGTTGTAAAGGATACCAGAAAACTTATACTTTCTTAAACCCAAAAATTTATATTTATATACACAAAAAAAAATTAATTAAAAACATTTTTTCCCTCTATATAAACTCCTGCCCCCTTGAGTGAAAGGCTGGCTACGCCCTTGTATACAAAACAATTAAAGTACTTAAACCGTACATCATACGTTCAGTTTGTTCTTTTGGAGCGCCCAGATGTTTCCACAATAATGATTCCAGTATTTTCATTTACGTATATTGCAGCTATCAAGATCTTATTAGGAGAAGTGTAAATTTTTTTTTATCTAAAACTAATAGTTAGAAGGACGCAATTCGAGGAAGTGGTAGTTAACATATTAGTCCTTGACATATATTTTTTTCAAAAATAAATATTGGAATTTTCCAAGGATATTCAATGATAAATTTTTAAAAGGATATTTTCAATACTTATTCGTCCTGGTGCATCCAAAAATTAATTTTTTCTATTCTACAGAATTGTTCCTTTTAATCCATATTGTTATTCTACAATGCACCGAAACTTTTGAAAAACTTTTTTTTTCAATCATATTCTAGAAATTTCAAAGTCCTTTTAAAAAAAATCCTGACGTCAGAGAGATAAACTAAAAACGCAGTTTTACTATATTTTGCCCGTTTTGTGAATATATTGATTTTTTCGTGTGTCAAATTATTGTATTATTAAAAACAGGTAAAATATTTTGATTTTTGTTTTGAAAGGTTATAAACTGGAAACTAATATTATTTCATTTTACATGCGCAGAGGTGTACAAAAGAAACATCGATAGTCGCCATCAACCATCGATGTTTAGCAAAAATGCAAAAACATCGATGTATCGATAGTGCCACGATGCTTTCTCCACCTCTAGTTGTAATACCAAATTTGTGTTTGTCAGTTCACCCACATATTGTACCAGAGACCTAAGTCCATCCACAAAAATGGGTGCAAGACTAGTAAAAATGGTTTTACCTAATCACCAGACTGCGGTGGGCACTCAATGTTACGAAAACTGATAGTTTTTTAAGTAATATTGGTTTAAGGAGAAAATGTAAGACATTGATCTAAGAAGTAAAATTATTCTTATTTTTTTATTACATAATTAAATCATTTTTATTTAAAACTCCTACTTTTTATGAAAAAATTTAAGTTTGTTATCGCAAACGTAATAGATGAGTATATGTTTTTAACTATAAGTTTCATTTAAATGTTATCTAAAACAACATTTATTGACATTTTAAAATGGTCTACTATAGTTACGGTGATCATAAATATATTTCGAAAATGCAGGACAATTTTTCAAAAAATTAACCTACATATAATTGCGTAGTATAAAAATAACAAAAATATACTACATATATACATTCTTCGTCATTTGAATAGCGCACCCTTTTTTTGATTTTCTACCATACAAAGTATGCTTGAGAAAATTTTTATATGGAAGAAAATGCGCAGCACCGTCAACAAAAAAAAAATTGTCGCCCCTATGTTTATTTTTTTTTAATTTTCAAAAATTTTTTAAATGGGATGTTGGGTGCAATGGGGTATAGTCATTGCGCTGGGTATGCAGTTACAGTTGCATGGCTATACTCAATCCCGACTCTTGCGTCCTCGTTCGCGCACTCTGGGCAACGTGAGCAACCCATGTGCGAGATGCGGTAACCAATCCGAGTGGAGCCTTGGGTCACGGCAGAAAGAGAGGGAGCTTCGGTGGGGCCACTCTGACTTATTCGGTTTAAGGGCTCACTGAAGTCTTCAGCGTCTGTTCACCAGTAGGTGCGGCTGCAAGCGGGTGTCTGCTTGGAGCAAGCGGCTCGCTATATAAACGTGTATTTGGTTGCGAAACCACCCCCGTCCCAGCAATGGGTTGTGCGCTGGGCTTGGGACCCGCCACGTAAAAACCACTTCCAGTGAAGAAGCAAGGCAAAGCCTCGGATGAGACCCCCCCTTATGATGACGACCACGGCAAATGTTTAAAGGACTACGATTTGAGGGCATGCACCTGGAATGTCCGGCCCCTTAATGGGGAAGGTGCCTCTGCCCGGCTGGTTGATGTCCTCGTAAGGACAAAAGCTGACATCACCGCCATCCAAGAAATGCGTTGGACGGGGCAAGGCAAACAATGTCTGGGGCCTTGCGACGTCTACTACAGCTGCCATGTAAAGGAGCGCAAATTCGGAGTTGGATTTGTGGTGGGAGAGAGACTCCGTCGCCGAGTACTGTCGTTCACCCCGGTGGACGAGCGTCTAGCCACAATCCGCATCAAAGCGAGATTCTTCAACATCTCGCTCATCTGCGCCCATGCCCCGACGGAAGAGAAGGATGAGGCATCCAAGGATCTCTTCTATGAGCGCTTGGAGCGCACGTACGAGCGCTGCCCCCGTCATGATATCAAAATCGTGCTTGGCGACTTCAATGCCAGGGTGGGCAAAGAAGGGATCTTTGGAACCACCGTCGGAAAATTCAGCCTCCACGACGAAACGTCCGACAACGGATTGAGGCTGATCGACTTCGCCGGGGCCCGAAACATGGTAGTATGCAGTACTAGGTTCAAGCATAAAAAGATCCATCAAGCTACCTGGCTGTCTCCGGATCGAAAAACGAGAAACCAAATCGATCATGTTGTGATAGACGGAAGGCACGCTTCCAGTGTTTTAGACGTACGCACACTCCGAGGCCCAAACATCGACTCGGACCACTATCTTGTTGCAGCCAAGATACGCACCCGCCTCTGTGCAGCAAAAAATGTGCGCCCAAATATGCAAGGAAAGCTTAACGTCGAAAAGCTGCAATCACAACAGACAGCCAGCGCTTTCGCTACTCGACTCTCACACCTGCTCTCAGAGAGCACTCTTCAACAAACCGACATATGCGAGCAGTGGAACCACATTTCCCGCTCATTAAGTACCGCCGCCGAAGAAGTAGTCGGATTTCAGCGAGCCCGAAAGAACAACTGGTACGATGAGGAGTGTCAGGAAGCTGCAGAGAAAAAAGATGCCGCCTACAGGGCCACGCTGCGATCGGGCGCAACGCGCGCTATGTGGGACCGCTATAGGGATCTGAAGAGGGAAGCGAGACGTATTTGCCGCAACAAGAAGAGAGAGGCAGAAATACGTGAGTGCGAAGAGCTTGAAATGCTGGCCGACAGGAGGAATGCCCGAAAATTTTACCAGAGAGTTAGGCGACTTACGGAAGGTTTAAAGACCGGGGCGCACTCCTGTAAGAACAATAATGGCGACCTAGTAACTGATGTCCAGAGCGTACTTAAATTATGGAGGGAACACTTTTCCGCCCTACTAAATGGTAGCAGCACAGAAAGTTGTGGAGAAGAAGAACCCGAGCCCGCAGTCGATGATGACGGAGTCGACGTTCCACCGCCTGACTATGACGAGGTACGTATAGCAATAACGCGGCTGAAAAACAACAAAGCCGCTGGAGCTGACAGCCTGCCAGCTGAGCTATTCAAGTACGGCGGCGAGGAGTTGATAAGGTGCATGCATCAACTCTTGTGCAGAATATGGTCAGATGAACGCATGCCCGACGACTGGAATTTAAGTGTGCTCTGCCCAATCCACAAGAAAGGTGACCCCGCCATTCGCGCCAACTACCGCGGGATCAGCCTTCTAAGCATAGGTTACAAGGTCTTATCGAGCGTATTGTGTGAAAGACTGAAGCCCACCGTCAATGAACTGATTGGGCCTTATCAGTGTGGCTTTAGACCTGGCAAATCCACCATAGACCAGGTATTCACAATACGCCAAATCTTGGAAAAGACCCGCGAGAAAAGGATCGACACTCACCACCTATTTGTCGACTTTAAAGCCGCTTTTGACAGCACTAAAAGGAGTTGCCTATACGCCGCTATGTCTGAATTTGGCATCCCCTCAAAACTCATACGGCTGTGTAAAATGACGTTGAGCAATACCACCAGCTCCGTCAGAATTGGAAAAGACCTCTCCGAGCCGTTCGCCACAAAACGGGGTTTCAGACAGGGCGACTCCCTTTCATGTGACTTCTTTAATCTGATGTTGGAGAAGATAATAAGAGCTGCAGAACTGAACCGCTCAGGAACAATTTACTACAAGAGCGTGCAATTGCTGGCTTATGCCGATGACATCGACATCATCGGTAACAAAAACCGCGAAGTCTGTTCTGCCTTTTCCAAGTTGGATAGGGAAGCAAAGCGCAAGGGTCTGGTGGTAAACGAGGACAAGACGAAGTATCTCCTGTCATCAAACAAACAGTCAGCACATTCGCGCCTTGGCACCCACGTCACTGTTGACAGTTACAATTTCGAGAAAGTAGAGAATTTCGTTTACTTGGGAACCAGCATTAACACCGATAATAATGTCAGCATTGAAATCCAACGTAGAATCACTCTTGCCAACAAGTGCTACTTTGGACTGAGTAGGCAATTCAGGAGTAAAGTCCTCTCTCGACGTACGAAAACCACGCTCTATAAGTCACTCATCATGCCCGTGCTGGTATATGGCGCAGAAGCATGGACAATGACAACATCCGATGAGGCGGCTCTTGGAGTGTTTGAGAGAAAGATTTTGCGGAAGATTTACGGGCCTTTACGCGTTGGCGACGGCGAGTACCGCAGACGATGGAACGATGAGCTGTATGAGCTTTACAACGATATGGACATAGTGCAGCGAATTAAAATACAGCGGCTCCGCTGGCTTGGCCATGTCGTTCGAATGGACACCGACGCTCCAGCTCTGAAAGTATTCAACTCGGAACCCGCTGGTGGTAGCAGAGGAAGAGGGAGGCCCCCACTGCGATGGAAAGATCAGGTGGAGAAGGACTTGGCTTCACTTGGCGTTTCCAATTGGCGTCAGTTGGCACAGAGGAGAAACGACTGGCGTGATTTGCTGAACTCGGCCAAAATCGCTTAGGCGGTTACAGCGCCAAAAAAGAAGAAGAAGAGAGATGTAGACGTTGAATATGGTATATTTTTATAAAAAGTTAATGAATATTAAACAAACAAAAGGAAAACTGTACCTACTAAGTATTGGGCTGTATGAATAAAAATAAGCAATTGCTTTTTCTTGAAATTTCAGACCTTTTACTCAATTTATTCAAACAAAATTGGAGTAAAAGGTATACAATTTTAAGAAAAGGCAATCGCTTAGTTTTTATTCGTACGGCCCATTAAAAGGATGCGCTATTCAAATANTTTTAAACTTTTGACATAAATCACATTTGCTTCATTGGTATTAATCCTTTAGTAATGAATATTTACAAAATTATAGTAAGGCATATTACGTATTACTTTACACGAAATATGAACCTCTGTAAAACAAATTTTTTAGGCAAACTTTGGGGTCGCTGAACACGAAAAAAATACCCATGGTTTCAAAGAAGTGTTTTCGAGATTTGTTCGAAAACGTATTTTTAGTACTCTTTCAATTATTCCTCAATATTTCATGAAACGACCAACAGTTCGAAAGGTTTTGATGGGCTCTTTGCAATAACATATATTTTTTGTGCAGATTGTGTTCCGTAACATCTAAATTTTCTCATCAGATTTTCATTTACTGTAAAAAGAAAATGATTGTAATTTCAAATTTTTCGATTTTGGTCGCTTGTAACACTAATAATTTTCTTCGAAATTGGCAAAGTAATATATTTTTGTAAGAGGACTGTAGGTCGCTTATGTTGATCGGATAATTTTTTCATGA